AGGGTATGATGTGACCTCTTGCGCTTCCTTTTTCATACATATGGATTTTCTACCAACCTCAATTTCATATCTAAAGGATTTTTTTTACGTATGACTCCTAAGTGGAAGAAAGATATGAGAATTCACCGATTAGTTAGCCAGATGACAGCTTCCAAATGAATTATGAAAGAAATCCCAAAAGTACCTTGTTAAACTAATAATCTCTTATCCTGGTTTCTGAAACAAGGTTAGGAACTATTTAATGAAAATGCTAAATTTTTCAAACCAAAGTTTCGCGATTAAGGTGGCTTGCATTTGCAAAAAGAACGACATCCTATTACTTAGAACCCTTGAACTTCTTTCACCTGTTCCTGTATGCTTGCTAGAAATTAAGTGCTATAATGTAGCATATTTTAGTCAAAAATCCTCTTTGCAGCTTTTTCGGATAACTTCTTATAGAACTGATGTTATTTGGATTTACTGCCAAAGAATTTCTGCCCCTTTTGCTAATACTTTCTTATTCAGTGAGTGCATGATAATATATCATTGGCTGAATTGTTTTTCAGAGCGGTGACGATATGATGGCGGGAGTAGAAGCAATCATTGGAATGCGTGGATCAAACTATGTAAGTTGTCCTGCCAGATGAACTTCAGCCCAATGTGGCGAGAGTAGAAGAAAAGACATAAAATTATCTTTTTTTTTCAATTAGCTGGAAGTATGTGGTTTATGGTACTCTGTTCCTTTTTAGTGGCGAAGGCGTCTCTCTGAATTCAATCACAACTATGTGCAGCCAACTCTTATGCGCACACCAACGTCTCGCGGAGAAAAGCTCATGGAGAAATACTCGGCTCTATCAGCCGAGGAGCAACGGTTACGATTGTTGGAAAGATATGGTGTCTGACTGGCTGTTTCCATTGAATCGCATGTGAAGTAGCGACAACGTCGGAAACGCTTACATATCCAACTACTCATCTCGTATTTAACATAGCCTGTAGAAGTTGAAAGCAGAATTTTCTGCTTGTAATCAATTAATAATGAATAGCTTTATTAGTGCTTTGGATAGAGTTTGAAACTTATTGCGAAATGCGTTGAATGAAAGCAAATTCATTGCGCAAATGCAATTCATTAGTTTTCAAAAGAACTTATTATCGCATTCACTATATTTACTGTATCCCAGACAGATCTGTAGTTTTTATCGATGATTTCGATACCTTAATAAATGACAAACACAAAAGAGTCGTTCTTGTTTGTAATCAGTTTTAAAATTAGCTTTGCAGAAGTTCACTTCTTGCAGGATAAAAGTTGACGATGAACCAAAAACGATAGAGTTGAACAAACAGTTTAGGAACTTCTGTCCTTTCTTGGATTACAATTATTTTTGTACTGATTTGCACAGTGTAGAGCATTTATAGTAGTAATTGAATTACATAAAATAACGAAGTAATAAAGAAGCTTTATTCTAACGTAATTTTCAAACATAACATAAGTAAAGAAAATAATAAATTAGGAATCACAAATTGCAATGTGAGAAGGAACAAACCCAATGGAAAGCTACTAACTTGTCACTTATCGTGCATCCGTCGCATATCTTATATATTACATATACTGTAGTGTTTACTATTGGTATATCTGGGCTAATAGTGGTGCAAATAAAGAGCATGTGTGTGCATTATGGGTAGATAGAGATTTTTTCCACTTTAGTGCGTTGCATGAATTCGAAGTTGAAGACGAATGCATTTTCATCTTTCTGTCATTAAATTTCCTTTTCTGTCGGGAGGCACAAGCAGATTTCAAGCATTCCATATCATGTTTCTTGCTGAAGATCCTATACGGTGTACACTTGTCTACCAATGGGCAATGAAGGAAGATAGAGAGATGAAAAGTTATATTTTCCCTTAGGCTTGCAGAACTTATATTGTGTTCTGCATCTGGAGATTGCCATTAGCTGCTAAAGGAAGAAATACACTATAAGACTGCTTATCTCCTTTCTTTCATCTTTTATAAGCATCTGCTAATCTCTCAGATGTCTTATAATGATTAGTATGTTTACTATTATATAACGATATGCAAACAAAAACAAGAGGACATATGAGAGTACAGTAAGAGATATTTAGAAAAAAACTAAAGATCAAACGTGAAATCAAAATCACACAAGACTTTATCACTGTAGCAATCATAAGAAGATTTGGGAGAATGGGTCCTCGATTTCCACAAGGAAGAAAATTGCCATGAAAAGTGGGTACTTTATGCTCCCTTCGCATGCCCTCGTATCTGAAAAATAATCAAATGATTTTGAATAGTGTGAATCATTGCGACTCCCACACCCATCACTCGAATCTTCTAAGTTATGCGATTTTCAACTTCAAATAACAATGCCACTCCAACGCGAAGAGGAACTCGTAAATATGAGTTTTTTTGGTGTTATGTGAGTCACAGCATTCCCTTAGTTCCATCATCATTATTGACTCATTATTTTTCAAAATAAGTGCCTCTCTTCGGGGAGGTTTAACTATTCGGACGTCATCACAATGCGAACTGTAAACAGTAGGATTTAGCAGTATCTTTACAACGTCAAGAGTATATGCAGTAAAAAAGAAAGAAGTTGTCAGGTTTTCAATCAACATCCATCAAGCTCTTACCAGATTGCTGATAGAGTAGCAAGTGATAGAGAGCCAGCTATGAAATACAAAGAATCTGGTTATAAGCATGAGCTGTAGCAAAATCTAAAAGAGAAGATGAAATGACTTCAAAACGTATTTAACCCCTGGTAGCAGAAAAGACCGACAACAGAAAATGGGGTAGACAAGAAATTATTGATTTCAAAACACCCGCAGGCTCGCCGAACTCCATAAAACATTTGCTTTCCCTATTGACAGGACATCAAATTACGGATGAAGGTTCTAGCTTATGTACTATTACAGAAAAATGCACTTACATTATGTTATTCCTTCCAGCTACATATATTCATGACTCAAAACGTCAGTGCAGAGAAAACTTGGACCACTCTTAGTACAAGAAATTATAGCAAAATAGTGGAAACAGTTTTTCTATCTAAATTCTTTAAAGGTCCAATGAATTCCATGTTCCATAAGAAGATGCGATTTCCTTCACCAAATATCATGCCCGCATATCGATTTTCAAACGCATCTATGGTTTTTGTGCCATCAAATCCTCACACATTCCCTCATGGTGCTCACACAAACATTTATTTTTAAACTGCGAAATTTCCAAACAGTGAGTTTTTGTACAGAAAATTCACTATTTGGCATTTATTTGGTTAGAGAATAAAGCCAAGTATAAGAAGTAAAGGTCAATTAACATTTCAAGCAAATGAATCACTAATATCGATGAATAGCTTGCGTAGCTGATTCCCTCACATATGTGCCACGCATGGCCCACTCATACATACTTAGAAATAATGATACCTGTATGTGTCATAAAAATGACATGCATGGTTGCGGTATTCTTCGTTTTACTTTATGGATTCTCTTGTATAAAAAGAGAATGCTAACTCGAATGTGCAAAAAAGTAGGATCACTATGCATAATAAAAA